TGACTGAGAATTGCTGACAGGTGGGTCAATTGATCGAAACAACCAGGTCAATTTTGGGTCGTCGTCCGAGGAAGCGGGTTAGCCAATCCCATCGCTCAAGCGTGAACACGTTCGTTTTTCTGACGTGAAAATTTATGCATATAGCATGTGCTGGTGGGGTAGTGGTACCACTCAAATGTCCCGAGTTCACAGCCCCAGCACGGCCAGGGGTATGGTGCATCGCCGATGGGCGAAACTCTACTCCATATGAACCCATCAGTATAATTGCGCCACGACAGGAGGTGGACTGTTCGAACGACGATGATGTGAGCCTGAATTGTAGAATCCGTCAACTATCCACAATAAAACATTCAGGGTTTCATTTGAAATGAATTATTTAGGTGAGGGCAGCCACAGAGTATGGGTAGGCACAGTCAATTGAATCCCTATCCATAAGAGGACTTGTGTTTTGCGCTCCAGTATTACATCATCGGTATGGTTTTTATGATACGCATCCCATGACTGGCACAACCAAATGACCTTGAGCAACCCGTCAGCCATTCAGCTGTGACGTGTTCGCTACCCACTGACGCCACATTGCCTTTTGCTTGTGCCTCCGGATCTGAATATCTGCCTATTCAATCTGCATACAGCATCCATTTAAGTAACATGAAATTGTGTGCATGGATTTCTAACCTCACAAAAGGCGGTTGTCAGTGATCACAATCAGAGGACAGTGTGATCACATAACTGTGAAAACGTGAGCGTGCGACAAAGCCCGTCAATAGGGTATTACAACCATATACTAACCGCCTCCCATTCGACGCAAGCACATTCGTGGGGATGTAGGGGATAAGTTGACCAGATTTTACGCTAGGTGAGTGCCATTGGCTGACTTGGCACAACCGTGAAACTGATTTTGTGGCTCTTCAGCCACCGAGCAGACAGATGGTTTGGCCAAATTCCGGGCTCATTTACGTCAGGGAGAACGCGCTGAGATCATGTCTGCACGCAAAATGTGGACAAATGGATGTGAAGCGATGCACTGTTTAAACCAGAAATATGGGGAATATCAGCCAGTAGCACGATCAACCGCATGTAAGACTGATTCGCCAGTTGAGAGGGACGGGAACTTTGGGAACTGCCAATCTCCAGTTTGGCCAAGATCGTTGAATCACGATTACGGGTTCCATGGGGTTTTGCAATGCATCCAGAGAAGTCCAAGTAAACGCGTAAGACGGTTGATGCAACGGTATGCAGCTTCGTATTTCCCTGCACACCGATTTCTGACAGGACAGGTTTGTGTCTATCTATGAGTGCATTGTGTTTAGCTTCACCTCCCTCGTTCATCGTGGTATACTAATAAGTATTCAGCTGAGGTTTTTTCGCCTTGGGAATCCTCGGGACTATCGACTGGTTTTCGGCAATCGAAGCTTACATGAAACTCGCATCCCTAGACTGACTTGAAGATGAAACACACGACTCGGTTACGCTCACGGATCAATAATGAACGCTATATATGCAAACAAGGAGGGCTACAGCAACTGCAGCTTTAATGAGGGTGTTAGAATGTCTCTTTCTGAACAACGGCACTCGATTAGCAAATTTTCAAGAGTGGCTCTTCACAGCGTCCCTCGCTATCAATTCACATGCGTTATTTGCCGTGAGTAACCCGATTTAGTTGAATCACTACGAAAACTGTGAACACTTTGAGCACTTGCAACTTTTAAAATATAGCTCAATTGTCACATGTCCGTTTTCTTTTTCATAACCTGTAGGTTATTACAAGATAATATGATTCGTAGTCTACCGTTGAAATTAGTCTGGAGACATCTGGGCTACCAATTTTACAACCTGCAAGTTAGTGCCCACCTGTATATGTCACAATGCTTCAGCCTGCCTGTACTCTAATAGTCACGTGTTTTGAAGGATTGTGCCAAAAATCCCGCTATTACAGTGCGTGCCACTGACTGATGGACAACCGATCTATAGTGCGGAATGAAAGAATGAACCTATTCGTTTGTAACACGGATGCACGTGATTCAGTACCACATACACCAATCCAGAGAGACTGATCTCCAAATGTTTCTCGAGGACATGGTTGTGAAATACTGTTGAAATTCCCGTCAGTAACTGAGCTTCCATGCCTCAGAATGAAAAGCTTTTTTTCCATTCAGTCTCTCATCTTATCTGTATTGTGAAGGCCGGTGGTCACAGCAAAACTGTGACGCTTCGCCTCGTTCCAGCCAAAAAGCTTAGGACCTGTTCCGTGTGGCACTGTCCGAATGAGATTCGCCGATCTGCATTTGGTAAGCTAACGTAACCACAACTTCCTACTTTCTCGAAACTTCCAGCGTGTCGTCGCATAGTATCCAACTGTTGAATCGGTGTGTTCCAATAAAAATTTTTGCGGAGAACTAAATTCCAGGATGCTGGCCAATCTAAAATAACAGTTTGCCGTCAAGTACCTCACTGAAAAATAAACTAATGATTTCGTTTTAGAATTAAGCTTCCGATTTCTATAAGAGACATTTCCGGGTAATACCAAAGCTTCATCTAGAGGAAGGTTTCTAGATTAGAGTATGACAAACGTGGATGAGTAGTATCGTCAGCCATGCGATGGAGATGAATTAGTCACACTTGATTGGGGTCAGATAATCAATGAATGGGTATATCGGTGAATGAGATACGCTCATGCATTGTGTTCAGTGTGTACATGATGACCTCCAGCAGTTGTCATGGCAACCCGTTGTGTATATTATTTTTGTACCATATTGCTAGATGCGAAAGAGAAGAGAGCAATAGGATTTATCACTAAAGCTAAGGTAATGATCGGGCAGTCGATTAGTATTGAGCCATTCTGCGACTTCACTCTGCATCTGGATACTGCCAGTGTAGCTCGTCCTCCAGGGTGGTGTCCGCTTGATCCTCACTGTGTCTGTTGGATGTACTGCAGCATATGGCTGTCGATCGATGTCAGTGGTGTTCTTATTGTTAGATTCAATCGGTTTGAATGAGTATCAGGATGTATAGGCACCTTAGATTGATTGTGATATACGTGCACCAAGCTCCCTCCCCATCCACTCCTATTGTTTTCTTCACAAGCCTTGAAATAACCTATGTTCATGTGGCAGAGAATTATGAATGTTGAAGAATCATGTCATGCTATAGGTGATGTTGATGTTCCAGCTTGATTACTCCTTATCCTTATTAGTATTGACATATTGGATCAAATTTGCCACGCGTATATTCCGGGATAAATCGTAAGGGATACCAGCCCAATTGATAAGAATCCACGAGTGATATTACGGCAGGATATGTACACGATGACTAGGTATCGATCGGCATATCCGAACAAGTTGCAAGCAATTCTTCGAAAAATTCTCTGGTGCTTTCTTACACTAAATGAACTAGTGTCTCAGAATGCTTGGAGTTGAGCACTAATGTACTACTACCGACCCATGACATTATAAGCTGAGAAGACATCTTAATGGTAAAGTAGAAAACCTTATCAGTCCAAAATTTAGTATGCAACACTAGTGGGTGACAACTGATGTGTTGTAGGTTAAACTGGAAGGTAAGACGTGGAACAGCTTTATGAATGAACTTAACTTGATGGAAAAGGCGTTGAGAAAAAACGGAGGGTTGATTTGTTGCACTGCCCCGTCTGAATGAAACCTCGCTTCCTAGGACACTTGTCCAGTGGATGTGAGGCACACGGTGAGACGAAACTAAAGGAGGAAATGCCTCAAAGCCGTACTGAAGTTGAACGGTGTCGTACAGAATTGACACCGAATACTAGGTGGACCCCAAACTGCACCAGAGACAAATGTTCCAATGTGAGACGATGGTGATGAAAGTCCGGGGGATACATTCTTGCATTTCCATTTGGCTTTTTCCCACAAAGCCTGTGTTCTTGTTGACGATCCGTAACGATGGACATTCAAGAACAACAAGATATCAAACGGTCGATTGCGTATGGCACAGGTATTTCACTAAGAAACACAGTTCAATTTCAGAATTGTTACTTGTGAGCTTTCGTACGAGTAAGTACAGGCAGACAAAAGTGAAGAGTCAGGCGTACTTCATTTCGCTACTATATTAGGTCGTGCTCGCTGTTCTCACCAAGAAGGGAATTGCTTGGTGAGGACACTAAGGTAGATAGAATCGCAGGAATAAGAAAACACGCACCGGATATCGATTACGACCACTCAACTACGGTATTTATAAATCGATCGTCGGTGCGATTAAAACGTATATGTGTAACCGAGCTAAAGGACTGAACATGAATGGACTCGAAACAGACTGCCAAGGCTGACAAATGATGTGAATCACACGGCAGATAATGTTCTTGTAGAGAATCGATAAACGGTATCAAAGGAACAAGTACGAGGTCGTTTTCTATACAGCTTTGTACAGAGTCCCTCGCTGTGTGATTTCATTTTGCCAAATTATTTGGAAACGTCCGGAATAGTTTTTTTCCGGAAGGATGTCTACTTATAAGAGCTTCCCTATCAGTGCAATCCGATGGCTAGAAGCTGTGATGTTGCTATTGGCAATACATATCAGTAAGATATCGATCCAGCAGTCAAGTGATCTGTCTTTGGCTTCATAACGCTTATTTCATTGCTTGAACAAGGGAGCACGTTTCTTGATTTTTTTTCTGCATAGAACAGTCGTTCAGTAAACTCACGTCCGACTATTCACTGCTATTCAGTCACATTTGTACGCGGCAGGCCGACCGATGCGATTGTAGTGTCATGTTTTGGTTTCCCTACTCTCATGCGAATGTCCTGTGTGTACCACGCTCGGAAAGAAGAGAGCGAAACTTCATCCCAGTGGCGCGTTGTACACCACGAGAACCAAATAGCAAAACACGTGTAACAAGTGCGCGGTTGGCTTTCCTGCTCTTGAAGTGATCAGTAATTCCTTCAGTTGAAGTTGAGGTGGTACAGAACGCCAGCCACTTTACTTGTTTACCACAACGCCCACAGCTTCTCAGATAGCCGACATTGCGGTGGAACGAAATGGTCATTGAAGTACACGCAAAGCTTCCATCGGACAACGCCAACACAAGTCTCGCGAAAAATACTCACCATACGGGATGGAGTTCAGAGTTACAGTGTTAGAATGAGACCAATCACGTATGAGGTGAATCAGAGTTTTCGAGAAAATAAACGACAGTTTATTTGAAAATCTGAAGCACATTAACCAATTAAGTCAGGTTTTCATTGGTTGTTATGTCTTTCAAAAATTAGGTGAAAGTTCAGGGCAAATGAGCTAAGGAAACACCAGGATGTTGTCATGTAAGAGAAACTGTGGTGATGGGCAAAAGGTCGCTTCCTATGTATGAAATAGTCAGATAACACAGAGCAAGAGAACATCCAAATAACATCTTGTCCAAGAGTGCTTTGGGAACGGAAACGAAAGCGCAGCTGAGAACTGGCACAGAAATTGTGTACACCATAGAGACCGAGAGAACGGAACTGTATTAAGGAGTCGAATTGAGCGCTATGAGTGAGGTTCGACCATGATCCAACATTCGGGAGTCATCGGTAGCAAGGCGATAAGTCCAGTGTATCCCATCTCCCAGTCTGAAGAGAAGAAAGCAAGGAACACCAAAAAAATAAACCAACTAAGTAGAGTTGTAGGACGAGATTGTGGAGTCAAAAAAACCCACTGGTGGATTTCAACTTTCCTTGTTCATGAATTATCAAGGGGAATCCTTCTTAGGAAGCGTCTTGAGTTAGTTGTATATAATCACTCCTCGTTGTGAGTCGAACGGACAAGCTAACTAAAGCAGAGCTGCACGCCCTTGGTGGCACCATGTTCTAACTTAGTACGCCAACAAATTCACCTGTGGTTCAGTTAGAACGACATGACTTACAGCTACCAAACCATACAGGACAATGCTTCAGAGTGATGCACTCTGAAGTAACACGAGGAGCGTGTGATACACTTTAATGTTAGGATGTAGCAAAAGCTGGTCATTTCCGGTAGACTACAGAACAGGGACACGAAGGCGATGATCTCAGAGAATCGGAAGGCGAGGTGCAGAAAGAAACAGACTGAGACTCGGCGATCAGTAGAGGAAAGGAGGACAAGGTGATGGTGGTTCGAAGGAGGCTATGAGATGATTCAACTTGGCACAAAATTGTCTGTAGTACTCCTCAAGAAGTACTCATTCACTATGTGAAAACTAGTCTCCTTCGACTCGTTCAATCGTTCGACTTCTGACAACTATTCTACCGATGTCGTCCCGTATCACGCACCAGGACCAATTCTGGATGTTGTGGAAAATCTACACACATGCCCTTAATACTATGCTTTCAAACCCTAACAACCGCCACTTCGGTTATCACAAGTTGTCCAAAGTCCTGAAGACTAATGTGGCCAAATAAGTCCCGCACGACCTTGGGAGTAGTGTCAATTCCCTCCTCCAAAGTGATAATAGTAACAACTTTTGCTACCGATAGCTTGCTGGCATACACCACTCTAAAGAAACACACGTCAGCAGTTTAAACACTTGTAAGCATATGACGTGTTGCAGCGGCATTTGAAACAAATTCTGGTTATTTATTTTACTTGATTCCTCAAGGTAAGCCTTACCTCGACCTTGTGACGCAGTTTTTTGATGATACAAACTCAAAACCATGCATTAACTTCTTTGAAGGAGTCTCTCATTCGCGCTGTGGACTCTAATCCTGCCGTTCTCCAACAATCTTCTTGGTTATCCCATGTCAAACTATTTGACTAGGCTTAAGGAAAATATATGCGTCCCTCGTTGCCTGCCGCTGATCTTCAACCCGTTTTTCATGTTGTCAGTTTCGTCCTGATAGACCGCATCGAGACAATACTCGACTCAGAAACCCACGGAGCCCTGTGTGTTGAACAACAATCAAACACTTATAGTCAAGGACATGCGTCACGTTGCTCAGCCTAATCACTTATTTTATAACGATCTCCCACCTATTCCGAACTGTATAAAGCCTCGGAGACAACGAGCTCACGGCTTTGTTCGTTACGTACTCTTGGACACTGTGGCATTCACAGTGAGCTATTTTCACACTCTTATGAAATTAGTTGGCGGGACTGAAGGCAACATTTGTTAGGCTTGTACACTGGTTCGACACACAACCTACGTCTTGTTTAGCTGTGACTCGGGCTGAACTGCCTAAACTACTAGACTGTGATAAGTTAGTATATACTCCTTCGATTAGTTCCGAGGACATACACTTGCTAAGAGACCTCAATACACGTATCTTTCGATATCATCAGGTAGCCAGGCGTTCTCGGACGTTATGGCATCAGGACTGTGAACGCCAAAAATGATCAACTCCACAGACTTCGCTATCCACGCATCTGCCATTACCAACACGAGACTGTACTTGAGTCCAATTTTTCTCGTTTCCAAGGTGTTCGAGAAACGCGATCGAATGCCTATATGTTTGTCTGGCCCGGACAAAAATTAGTTAATGAGACCATTTCTAAAGGATATTTTCGCAGACACAGTATAGAGAAAGCATCATAGTTCACAAACTCACGTGGTCATCACGGGGAAAATTGCCAAGAAGCAATTCCTACCAAACACTTGCTGCAAATTAGTCTTCGTGCCAAGATCGAAAGCCCTTGGATCAGAAGTACCATCACGGAATTTCGGTGCACCAAATGTTTCTACGAAAGTAGGGAATTGACGCAAAAGTGATAAGGTAATCATCCGGTTTGCATCATTATGACAGAAACACGAACATAAAGGAAACCCTTTTGGAGGTCCGGCAGGTTAAACAGCACATAGCCTAGTACTAAGCCATTGATAACTAAACTTAAGCCTGTCCTAACTTAGCAGCTGCACTCTATCAGAACATGGTAATACATGAGGATATGAACGGTCTACGACCTTAAAGAGTAACCGGTTCAAAAGATGATGAATACACTGTGCACAGTGTGTTCTCAGATAGATCAGGAGACGTGAGTAACCAGCCGTTTACAGTACGTGACCAAGAAGACCCGAGATCATCGACCTTCCTTGGCCGCAGTCATCTAAGTCGCCCAACTAAAAATGTTGTTCCTTCACTTCAACTGAAGGCAAAAGGAACATGTCATTCGGGCATTTAACAAACTGATGCAAGCAAAGGCAAAGAGGCAATTTAACCGACTTTGTTTGTTTGGCAACAGAAGGCTGAAATGAAATACAGCTGAGGTCATTCGTTAGGGAACCAGAAAATTCAGAAGTTCCTTGAAAGAATGGCCTCATCTGGTCCTGGATATGTATCAAATGATCGGGATATAAAAACTCACGCAAAACGAGAAGGAAGAGTTCTCGGGAAGCAGCATTAAAAACCTTCCAGATGCTGCTTGCACACAATTTTGGTCGCGAACGATGCAGTGATAATGATGCGGCGATCACTCCTCTGTCGTTAGCTTAGTTCGTCGACACCTCGTGGTGGTGTTCAGGTTTCGCCGTGGTAATGACCCGGCGGACTAGACTAACTGGAACTCAGTTCAATGCCAGAAAGGTCCATAACAAAGAGTAGTCCCACAAAGAGCAGCGAGAGTTTGTACTACGAGCTATTGCATTAAGAAATGGTATGTGGGTGGTCATACTGTGGGAACGGTAAGTTGTTCCATCTAAGCAACCAGCACCTCCATATTAACGGAAGCAGCGATGTTACCATCCCTCGAGGAAGAACGGGTTAGAAAAGATTGGCTCCATAAACCGCACACTTCAATCGCCCAACGGTTGACCGTGACCATCGGCGTTTTGACCAAAACGGTCTAAGTACTTTACAAAAAACAAGAGGTCAGTGCCACCCAAATAGTGCCTGTTGTGCTCAGTGGCATTCAGAAACATCCATGTGCTACTTTCTGTGTCCTCCGGCTAGGTCAGTCCCCAACTGCTTTATAGGTCAAGGCAAACCTTGATGTCAAAGGCTTTGCCCATGTTTCTACGTTAAACACCATCCCGGACACGACTAGGAATTCAACCAGGAGAAGGGCCCTCTTTTACAACTTGAAACCTGGAGCGTGAGGAGTTTCCTGGATATGGATGGGGGAAGTGGGCTTGAAGGGCAAGCTGCTCTTGTTGAGTGAAAACTCAAACGTCTAGGGTAGAGACCTTGTTGCACTAAGTGAGGCCGGCTGGTTGATCAATGAAGGCTATGGGAGGCTCGCCCCGGTTATACCTTCTACTGCAGTGGAACAACACACGAAAGGCAAAGCGAACATGCCGTCGGAAAACAAAAGATGAAGAGTAACCAAATGAAGTGAGGATCTCCAGCTGCATACTGATCACCGCTATGACAAAGCTTTTTTATCAGACTACAAGGAATCTATAAAGTGAAAGCAGAATACCTTCTGCTGACAGAAGACAAACAAGCTGCTGAAACTAGCGAAATACACTCACTGGCAAACAAATTTGGTTCTGCGAGAGACTTACCTAGAACCAAGCTGAATGTCTCGTTTGTGATGTTCCCACGCAACTGAATGTGCTGCACCAGGCCGCCTCATGTTTCAGTTGCTACGATACTCAAGATATCGCTTTACATGTATATTCGTATTTCACTGAGCGCAAATGAATGTATTTCGCTAATTTCGTGCAATTTGATTTCAATTAGAACATAAGGTTGACGGAAACTCAGGGACTGCACCTATGTGATGGGCCTCAGGAAGGGCGAAACCGGTCGTGCGCTGTCGAAAAATTTTCAGCAACCTTATGAGTAGTGCAATACGAATAAACTTGTGAAACGTTTGACAAGCCTGACAAGATTCTGGCAGCATAAGAACATCACTGTCCAACACTACCCCATCAGCCAAGAGATCTCCATTTGAACCATACGGTCCGTCTGTCTACATCCACTTGGGTAATCTACCAAAAGCCGCGGAACTGCTGTCGGAAGTAAACCAACTGCGAAACAGGGGGAGAGCAGCGGGAGTGACCAGTTTGCCAGCGGAACTGTTCAAGCTGGGAAGAAAAACACTGTACACAATTTGGGAGATGGCAGATGTTGCGTAAGATTTCAAGGATGCAACGTTAAATCCCCCATATAGAGGTAAGGTAAGTTGACAGAACAACTACCGCGAAATCAGTCGTCTGCACACCGTAGGTGAGATTATGATTCGCATCCTGCTCAGTCGACTAGTCGTTGACATTCCGGAATAAAACGTTGCTGTCGCGAATTAAAGAGAAATATTGGGAGCAGAAGTAGTCGCTCTTTGGTCTTCATCAAAGTCTTCGACAGCTAAGCACTGTAGATCGTCCTACAAAAGACTAGCTGTCCAGACAAATCTGTCAACCTCATGAAAAACTTTCACACTGGGATAGAAGACCGGATGCGGACTTGTAAAATCACCGCTGAAAAATTTTTCAGTAAATTCCACAATGTCCTTACCATAACTCTTTCCAGCCTTTATTTAACAACCATCCCGCCACTCCGAAGGTGGCAAACCGATTCAATAGCGGTTGGATAGTTATTTATTCAATTCGAGGCGTCTCACTGTTTAACCCATTCTGCGAGGGTCTAATGTCTGTATGCCACTGCTTGAAGACAACTGCTCCTTGTTTTCGCCTTCTGGAGTAGAATCAAAGCGGTTCACTGTGGCGTACGGCTCAGCATCATACAAATTCGCCTTAAATATTACCATGTCTGGAAAGTTAGTTTTTTATCACCATGTGTTTTGATAAATGGTTGAGTTGGTGTGCTTCACGAGTTTCTGCAATCTTGAAATCACACTCTCCACACAACACTTGACAACGAAATAAATACACGGATTCCAGAAGTCAGAACAACATTCGGTCTCCTTGAGGAATGTGTCTGGAGCAGTGACGACTTGTGCGTAGATATCAAGACTGCAGTATATCGGGCTGTTGTGCTGCCTTCACTACAGTACAGCAGCAAGACCTGGACACTATGAATAGACTATAGATTTGAATTATTGACTGATTTCACTTGCACTGTCTGCTCATAATCCATCTGATCAACTGGGATGGCAGAACCCCGAACCCCGAAATAATTTCCAGAGATATCGTAGTTGTAATTAAATGTGGTTAAGTCGCTTGCAACCAGTGGGGAAAACTAGCACCTCAAAATAACTTATCATTGGCCAGCTGAAGAGCGGAGCTCGCAATAACGGATGCCCCAAATTACACCAGTCTTCATCACCAACATCGTTAAAAGCAAAACCAGATAAGAACACCAGTGCTTCACCACCGTACAACTAGTCTTGTACTAGAAAGAACAAAGACAAGGGGCACGGAACGGGACCTACGGCTAGCATACAACAAGTACCCAAGTTTCCTATATTTCCAACACTCAGTCACGCAATCAGGATAGAAAAGAACAGCCTGAGCGCTGCTGATACCGGTTAGCTGTCATATCGTTCAATGTTTCCGGCTAAGCACAGGCAACGTCACATGGGCATCATCCTGGAAGGCGAACAGCATCAACAGCAACGAAACACCCTTAATTTCCCTCTGCCATGTCATATTCTGTCAACCACAACTCCAAATGAAGCACAGAAAACGTTCCTTTTGACAGGCAATAAATTGGTACGTGCAACACATTACCCACCCACCCAAGGTCACAGTGCTAATGCATTTTCCCAGTGAAGTTCCGTCTTCTTCAACTTCCAAAGACCATTTTTCTGGTCACTTCATTTCGAATAGCCAGCTACAGTTCTGAGGCGTTAGTGGTCAGGAACCCGAAGATGTCCACACCCTTCGCCCGGGGTGACCAATTCGACCTGCAATGTAGTCTGATACACGCGTCCTCTGAGCCCCAGTGATATTGGGTTTTGATGTCACGAGTGGTGAAAATCGGCAATCTGATTCAGGCCTTTGCGAGTCGTGCGTCGACCTCTTTTGGGGTTGTCTTCAGGTAATTTTGAAAAAAACAACTTCCATTTCAGGTCATGAGAGGACCTGGCACTCGACAGAATGACATACAGAACGGTTATCCCAGTGGACATGAGAAGCTTCGACAGGCAAAATGTTGCAGCGCTGGAAAATACGTAACGTGTGGACACAAGTGCCTTATGGGTCACCAACGCACTCACCGGTTCATCTGAAAAAAGTTACTTCCTGGAACTCAGTTAAATTTGTTTAATTGTCTAGTGAATATCCACCTGTCAATGTCATTCTAAGAATGACAACATCATTGGCCACCGCAGGGTTAACGGAATACCGCCTGTTTATCGATTGCCACATTGACGTATTAATGGGTAGTTCCCGGGAACGCATGGTGTCATGCTCAGAGAAATGCTGTGCTACGCTGAGATTAAAAGGAACTGAAGGACGACTACGGCAGCCCACTGATAAACAGGTAACTGGTGCCGGTGTCCATCGTTGTACCATCATGCTTAGGTCGGTTGATGGCTTGCGACAGGAATGTGCACATTTGTCCCTTAATCTTATTCCATCTGGTTTATGCCAAGGGCTTGCGTGCAGCACCACATTCGGCATCATGGCATCGCACTATGAGCGAACGATCATTGGATTGAACAATGTTGATCGATTCGGACATCAGTCATTCAAGCAGTCACTGTGTGATGAGAGAAGTCTTAGAATTGCTGATTGGGTTATATAAGGACAATTCAAAAGAGAAGCTGTTTTTCCAGAAATACACCCATTTGCAAATCAATTTGGTTTTTACGAGAGACTCAACTGAATCTCACGTTTATGATATCATACAACTGAATGTGCTGCACACAGGCCGCCTCATGATTAAGTTGACACGATATGAAAATATACTACGATATCTCGAATATCGTGCCAACTGATTGATTGATTCGAAAACAGTCCAATTTGGGTTCAAGTAAGGTTGACGGAAACTCGGGGACTGCGCCTACCTGATGAGCCCCAAGGAGGGCGAAACCGGTAGTGGGCTGTCGAAGGGTTTTTAGCAACCCTGTGAGTAGTTTCCTTTATGAAAAAGTTGTTTTTGTTACTGGGACGGAAAAATTGCATTCTACAGACTTTTGATGCCGGAAAAGATTAAACGGGGCATAATTACGACCGCCGAGATCTCCCTGCAGATTACTGGGAGGTAACGTATTCGCCCGAGAAACAGAGTTCTGATGGAACTGGTTTTTCTTTCATACACCTACAAAGAATTTCTCTCCATATTTCAGTTTAACCGTCTACGCGACACCGAACTCAGATAAAGCTAGGAAGTGTTATCAGGCAGTTGAAAAAGTCAGTCTTAAGATGAGCAGAATATGCAACATAGTTGTCCCCAGGCTTTTGTTATTCAGTCGTTTGAGCTAATTCGAAAAGAGTGTCTTCCTGTCCAAGCACTTTGGTCCGCTTCATGGTTGACATATCAAACTGCCATGTTTCCAGAACAATGTTGACTTTCAATTAACGTTGAGCAATGGCACCAGGTGTAAGCATTGTTCTGTTCGCTAAGCTGGGCACTCAGGTTGCCCAAAGTCGGTGAATTCTGAATCAGGTCAGGCTTAAAAATTATCCGGACACCGATCAGTCAGGGAGCCAGTCGATCATCCAGCAAACGGAACTGACTATCCACACGGACAATCATAATCCGAGGCCATCAGCCTGTGTCAACAAGATATATGAACCTACGCACTGACGCAATACAAAGCACTGCAAACTCACTAGGCAGTGATGAGGGTGTCATCTCGATTGACGGCGAAAAGTTTACAACCAAACTGCTCAGCTCAGCCATTACAACAACGATCAGCTATACAATCTGAGTTGTCAACATTTCCCTCCATGGCACCAGGTTTGCTTGTGCATTATAGAACGATCACACCTCTTCTAATCCAAGGATTTTTAAAATCTCTTTCTACCTTCAAGTGGTTTCCACTGAAAGGCAATTAGTTTGTCCCAGTAAAAAATCACTTCCTTCGAGTGAATTACACTTACGACGTAGTGTGGCCAGTCATCAATTGCAGTTTTGCGACACCCGCTGACACTCCGTTAAACTCCACACATTCTGTATTTCACCTTCGTTCAACTGTACGCAACCACCCATAAACCATACACACTTCATGTCCTTAATTTGCTAAGTGCAAGAGGTGCCAGATCACCTGACACCTTTTAAAAGCCGGCAAGCAAATGAGCTCACCTCAAAGACAAATCCATTAACGATGGTTAGACCACTGTTGGTTGATAAAACTGCAGTTAAACTGCGCCCAAATATGAGCAATACACTACTCATAAGGTTAGTGAAAAATCTTCGAAAGCCCATGACTGGTTTCGCCCTGTTTGGAGCTCATCATGTAGGCAAAGTTCCCGTCAACCTTAACTCCTAAATGAACCCAAATTCCAAGCTTTTCGCGAAGTACACTCATTTGCAAGCATCATAAACGAGAGATTCAGTTGGGTTCCAGGTGGGTCTCCCGCAAAGCCCAAATTGGTTTGCAAATGAATGTATTTCGCTATGTCCAGATAGTTTCAAAGCCTCGCGGAGACAGATAGAGTGTGACGACCGAAGAAGTCTTTGAGAACACAGTGAGCTACTGAGTACCTACTCAAAAGAGAGTAGTGAGGCCGTTCAGAAAAATCTACCATATGGCAAAATAGTCACCCACGACAAACGTTGCTTCGGCAATAATGACAAAAATAATAATGGAGGGATGGCTTATCTATTGCATGAATACTGCACGCAGATGACGCCACTGATATGATTTGATCAGTTCGTTTCACAAGTTTATATGCCCGTGTAAATGTCTGACCATTACACACTAGCAGATAAAAAAGGATTACACCGAATGTTTCGAATTTTGGCAAACAAAAAGGGCACGCATGACTGGAGCCGAAAGAATGTCACGGTTACGATGAGAAGAAACGTTGCACAGAGAGGAAAGTAATACTTGAAATGTCAGGCTATCTTCCTCAACTGAGAAGTAATACTTCTTCGGAACGAGTGATCTTAGAATATATATTCTTCCGTCAGAGGTCGTGGAACACGCGTCAATCGGTAATGGGGATTAGAGATAGCACGCTTATCCAATGCGGACACTGAAGCAGTCATGCTGATTAGCTGTTGGGAACCAAAACTTCACAGAACCACAGCCAAAGTTCTCACAAAAATTATGACCTGTAATGTTTGCAATCTGCAGAAGTTACTGTAACTTATCATAAAATTACCTCAATAGGAGAGTGGGTGACGTTCTAAAGTTGTCATAATGCGAAAAATATTACAGGGAACATTGGAAACACACGTCCTAACAGCGTCAAACAGTTTAGAAATCAGAGCACTCTTGCAAGGAAACGTGAATATGGAACGGCTGTGGATGTGCCAGATATACGTCTCAATAACAGGTCACCGATAGGGAGCAGAGCATACTTGAAGCAGGTCTAATGCCTAAAACCCAATGGCGACTGCAGCAACAATAGCAGCGCACAACTGGAACAAACAACTCTGTGTTGTTTCTAATGTACTTGTGTAAGGTGACCTCAGATGTGAGAGTTATTATCAACCACAAGCTCAGAAGAGGAAATAGACTGTGCAGTGAAAATTAATGACAATGTTTTTTGACGGTCAACAATACTAATTTAAACCTACCCAAGGTTGTCTGATTTCTGCCAACCAGATAGCAGTGATAACCGCCCAAAACGAGTTGACATATGCCGAACATAAGCGAGACGATGAAGAGAAATAGCACTTGAAATCGATCCACCGTCAAATCTCCAAACTGGTTGCAGAATAAAAAAAAACAGTGAACAACAAATGCATGCGGTCAAACCAGTGGAATCTGATGGGAATGCAAGCACGAAGCACAAAATAACAAACGGAAAAAATCCGTGCGAACAAAAGCACGAGGATAGTCGCGAAGATTCTGCATATTGGATGAAGTTAGATCAGAGGTTCTAAACTGACACCGACTGGCGTTGCGACACTATCCTAAGTAACACAGCCATAGAGAGTAATACTAAAAATAATTAGATGTCACACCAACCGTCACGTGGTGCTACGAACCAGCTCACATTGATTAATGGGTAGGCGAGAATAAGCTGCTTCTCTTTGCCAAACCACTTGTGACTGAGCTTCAGTAGCCAACCTGACTGAAATGCCTGAACAATTTTGTGAAAGGGTTTAGAAAGAGGGAGTTGCGAGGTGTTGACAACTCGCAACGTAAAGCATACAATATATATGAGTTACGGACATAGTAACGACTGAGATACATCGAACGACAAATTGCTCTGAGAAAGGCGGTAGTTGGAGTTTAGTTCCAAGGTAAATGGTGCACAGAATTTGAGTTCCCGTATTCTTATCGATATCACTACACAGCTAGCCAACGGCTCTGGGTTCCGATTGCGTAAATGTATGCTGAGGGAAGGAGTAAGTCCAACCAGGTAGCCTGAATAAGAGACAACCGCTACAATCAATGACCTCCAGCTGACTCTGGCGGTCAGCGGTGTTGGTCCGAAGTAGTGCTAATATCTGACAGCTGCATACTAATCTGAATGGGTTACCGAACAGGTAGTTCGAATAACTGCCGTACACTAAGCCTCTAAAAACGGATCCATTCACAATGAAATCGAGGTAATCAATTACTAGTTTGCCATACTCACAGTTCATCATTCTCATCATTAACAGATAATTGATGTTGCCGCCATTGATGTCACCCTGTTTAGGTCGGACGATGGTTTGCGATAGCTTCTGCCTGTCCGTTCGCTAAGTGCTTGCACGTAGCACCACATTCGGCCCCGCGCAAATCACCTGTGGCTTCGCGCTATGCTCAGGAGTTCAGCGGACCAGTAAACCCGATTCGGGTACCAGCCATTTAGCTCATGTGAAGTACACCTAGCGTGGTAATCTCGGGTGCTTGGATATTTAGCCGTAGGAAAGACAAGTCGTATTCGGAAACAATTTGGTTCTCCACAGTGTCCCCATTACAGGATATCGCAGGATCCATACTTCACATAATCCATTAATTAGGCTCTATCCGGAACAAGGTCCAAATATCTTATAATGATAAGTTTTTTCAACTATACTACATTGGTCTCGCAACAATCAACCTTCAAAACATGTCTTCTCCAAAACGGAACCATGTTTACGCAATATATTTACACCTTTTGATTTCAGTTACACCTTACCTACAACTGTTCAGGCAAAATTGCAGGGGGCCAACTGGCTACATAGGATGGTTAACTGAACTGGGGAACGGAATCAAACAGGCAAGTCCATAGTGGCTGTTTCGTTACAACCTACAGATTGAGTTGGTATCGTAGGAGTAACCGAGATCGGATAAGTTAAAATTACATGGAATTCTTTCGTCATTCCGTATGGAGATTGACCAAATTAGTGGTCTGAGTAAGAAACTATTGTATTATTTATGGGTCACAAGTAGGATTACATCAACTGACTCTGGTAACCCGAGCTTTTGAGAGGCATGTCAAGCCGTCACAGCATCGCTTGATTAGGTCATCGCAAACGGGAGACATAGCTGGATTCAACTAAGGCTCCCGGTAAAACTAAATCATTGTGCAAATAAGATTCGTTGGTGAATGTTAAGGTGTTATCCACAAGCAAGTTAGGAACAGTAAGTATTCTTTCACAAAGATAATATTCAATTACTTGACCGAATCGTGAGAAGTTATTCCGAGAAGACAACCCGGGTGAGACTTTTCAAAGTCGATGAAAATATGCAGTAGATCTTCAGGTAGCAATGAAACGAGTGGTCTCAATGGGATGGTTGTTCTAAACTCTTCGGATACCTGGGTCATTTAGATTATATATCACCTGGTCGAAGGGTACGGCCATATGAAACTAACGCGTGTGTACCAGATGAAATTCGATCCACACGGTGTTGCTTTTGTTCTCAAAAAGACGATGGACAGGAGATTCAAACAATCTTCGGATGGATTAGTTGTTTATAGCGTTATATGACACAAAAAACCTGTTCCAGGGAGTAGTTGGGTCGACGTTAGGGGCATCGATGTATTGCCTATTGTAAGTGGCACGATCAGAGTTTCAAACCACATTACCTTGCCTACGATTTAATAATACTAATGCTACTAATAATAGCATTGTGGGAAAGGTAATTTCACGTGCCAATCGGACGAGTTGGCACTGAGATCATTTTGATAAGGCAGCAGGATATTCACTTCTGTTGAATTTTCGGCTAGGCTTGGTCGTCAAAAAGGGCTAATATCGGCGAATATCCTCACATTTAACGCAAACGTCATCAATAATTGGACCGTTCTTTATCCAGACTATCCAAATTTAATGAAATGGTTATATAAAGCACCGGGCATGGTCTTTTTATGCGGGTGGAAACTTGTAACGGTGAACAAAATTTCAAGCACTTCATTGTACAAATGCTTTAAATCAATATGGCGCAGTAATATGCACTGTACGGCTAATCAAATTGGCTCTGCCCTCCCTCCCCCCCCCAAAAAAAAATTAACATATCCGCTATGATTTCGCTCAGGTGAATAATTGTGTTCAGATTAGACCTGATACTGTCGGTTCGGCTTCGACCTACTTTCTCACTGCATCACACCAATCAACTGTACTCTAACCGTTTTTACACACTTGAACTGGTGAAGAGCAATAGACCTTTTGTTTACAGTAGAGTTTATCAAGGATCCAAAAGCACAGTAGTTCGGTATCAGCTGCAACCAGAGACAGATTCATACCATATGATCACTGATCAATTAACGACGACGTTAAGAAAACGAAGCATGACGAGCCTTGAAACCGACGATCCCATTTAAGACAATAACGCACGTGTACCCGGTATCAAGGCACCGAATCACCTGGTGGGAATAAGCTTATATGAGCAAAGTTATTCTCAAGTCACTCCATATGGTGCTAAAATGGTAATTTCTGAGCAAACGCTCAGCTCGTATCGGTTCCAGAACATTTACACTGATAGCAGAGACCGATGTACATCAGAAAGTGTGGAACAAGGCGCACGTCCTGGAAGGGATCATTCAGCTATCCTCAAAGGTCGAAAATCAGATCGTGAACCTGCGTCATCGGTCACCAAATATCTGCTGCAAATTGGTTGCCGAGTTTATTCGACAGTTACGTAACCAGAGATCCGAACTATTACCGTTTAGTGGGTGATCATGATCAAGCTTTTGTGTGCTTACACTGTTCTGAAGCAACGCACCCAGCTACCGTGGTCCGGATCAAGTGACTCCAACTTTTGCTGTTAATCATCTGGTCGTTGAGTTTTTACACATAACACGCACATTTCGCATCTCACAGCTGAGAAGTAAAACAACTGATGATGTTTTCCACAGGTACTGACTAGAGGACCTTTCCTATCCGGTGAGCCCAGTTCGTGGTGAAACCGGTGATAGGCCACTTTCCGGCCTGGTTTACAATGTATATGTTAGCAGTACAACACTTGCCCCTTTGGGACTTAAAAAGCGCAGTAATACTGCTAGGCGCATCGCCCGGTATCCGTGCTTATCGTGCGCAGCCACATGATCGTGTTAAAAAGAGGGTCCTTACAGGGTAATAGTAATACATAATAGTTGGGTGATCCGAACGTGCTCTTATTACGATTCAACGGTTGTGGGCAGTTGACTGCAGTCAACAGTAAAAGAGGACCTGAAGTTGCTTGTTACACGAAAAATGACTGATTCAGCCTTGCTATCCTTTCTGTGCAGAGCTGTCACGCAACCAGAAGGAAGCACGTGGTCTAATCCTAGACAAGCCAGAGTTCGGTTCTAACCACGATTATTTCGGTTGGGAGCTTCATATCTTGGCACGTGAGCTTCTTCAACCCCGGTATAATCTGAAACTCACGCAAAACTGGGACGCTGCTGGCCGAACAAAGGTAGGCACCAACAAAAACTCACGAGATACACGAAGATCACGGAAATGGAGGTGGGGATCGTTGATGCAGGTAGTTAGATTCATGGAGTTTTTCTGGATAAACACGCTGATGACAAGGCGGAGCTGATACAAAAACCCCAAGGTTTGGAAATCACACGAACTGTCTGATTCGACTACGAGCAACTCACTACTCGCTTGGAAGCGCGATCATTTCCTGATCTGGCAACATTATTCCAGAGGCCTGGGCAATAAATGCTTAGCACGCGATACTGATTAAAACAAATTCATCAGTCGACTTGATGATATGCACAACCCATGAGGAGCTCATCTCGGTGCACAGAAACAACGCAAAAAAACAAGCCCACACTGAAAGAGAACCTTGAAGTCGGCTGACGACTAACAGGGCTATGCTGTCCACACTTTGTCAACCGAAAACAGAACATTTCTTGTGAGAAGACCGTACGGGGGTGCTAGTGAACACGTACTTTTCTGAAGTCAGCAGGAAGGAATCAGCCAGGAGATATATGAGCCGTCGATTTCTAAGACAAGATCTCTCAAGCAGAAAGAAGCATCATGAAACTCTGTGTGAGTCCGCTTCGGATAGCATGGAGATATAGTACAAATACATTGGAAATTTAGCCTTAGTGAAAACATATTTTCGATGAAGTGCATCACGTCAGCAATCAAACTGGGTGAACTTCGGCAGAACACAGGAACACCTGTACGAGCACCGAATCCTTATGAAATTACTGGGCACAGCAAGTGTGCGAAGAAGGCCCACGGATTTTACTATTCTGAGGCAGTAAAACTGACAAAGTCTATCGCGGGAAATTGGATTTTGATTGCGCGAACCAGAGCCATAAACAAGCGGCCAAGGATTGTAACACCAACTTCATAACAGATGAAATCGAACAAACTCGTACCGTTTCATTCGACCTCTGGAATGTACGTAAAAAATGCGACACTGTAGATTCCACGCCAACATGTTGCGTCAAGGTTCACTATGGATGGAGGTCACGATGTAACATGCATAGGACAAAGGCAAACAACTGAAGAAGCACATTATTGAGCATGCACAACACCCACAAAAACTGCAGAAAACTTGGCGACTGCTCCACAGCCCTACCGGAACAACACAACACATTTTTGGTATAGATAAATTCAGCAAATGCAAAGGTGCGGTGATGAAACTACGGTTATTATTGCAACGACCGGCAGTGATTCATTGCGACTGTTGATAAAACCAGTAACGCAAGCCTAACGACCTAACACCAACTCGGAATTTGTCCAGGTTGGTTTTTGGGACGTTGCTACCACGAGCACCCAGGTCGGTCATTTCGTCCGTTAGTTTGGTTCACACGGCTTCTGAAGGATATGAACTGTGATGGTCGTACGTCGAACGGTGGGATCAGGAGTCGAATATTATATTAACCCGCCAAATATTCACTGAACATAAATGACCACGCGGAAATCCAAGAGTATACAAATATCTTCGAGTTTGTCCTCGACTTATTGAGGATTTTAAGCTCGTACCGAGTTAAGTATGGTCGCATTGCCACTGACTGATCAGAAGTCGAACTCTAACAACAAGAATGGGTTTGCATCTGTATCACCGCACACAGTGACACTAGCGTCGAAGACTACTGTCTCCCTCGTGTACAAGCGTAGTAAGATCATTGGGAAAAGCCTTGTTGTATCATCCATTACTTTGACAATTGAAATTCCCGGCTTGGCCACCAGGTTACAAATAGGGATAGAATAAATGTGGGGAATTTCAATTGTCAACGTAATGGATGATACACTTCTAGTGGAACCAAGAGATAGTGACTGTAGTCCACTAAAGCCAACCCTTACAACGTTGGAGAGGAATCTAAGAACGATCATCTGTGACGTCGGTTAGCAGCTAAATTCTAATGTCACATCGAACCAGTTGATGCAGAGCAACTAGATGGCGACTAGCACCGAAATTCCAGCTCCAAAGTTGCGTTCCCAGCCTGACGCGGAGCGTTCGGCTGTCCGTCGGTCTGTGTACTGCTTTTCAAATCCAGCCCGGATAAACAGAGGGACTTCAGTAAGAGTTCAGTGACTAATCACATTGGAACAATAATATTCTTCAGCATCACTGCTGCTTACTGGACCGCCAGGTTGACGCCAATCATACAATAATCCGAACTAGGGCCATGAAATCACGTAATTTAAACAGTTGACTTGAGAAGGCTCGTATAAACAGTTGCCTCCTAGGCCAATTGAGGTGAAGTAGTCAACTAACAAAAGGAAACAATAACTAAAGACAATTGGAGCAATTGAACAAAAAGTCACATCCAGCACCAGCTATTAAAGCAACGCTATGCAAACGTGATTTGACCAATAAACTCAAAATACCGAAAATCATCATGCAACTTCAGCACAGTTCAATCTTGCTGCATCGACAAGCGAAGACAAGAAAATGATGTAGCAAGATAGAACGTGCAACAATAGCGCACGCAGACATGTAGCAATTACTTTGCGGTCCAATGCACCCGTTTTCTAATGAGAACGAGAAAATTTGAATGAAAATGGCGGGATTATCACTGGCCTGATGGACACAATATGGAACAGGAAAGCAGAACGGAAGAAAGAAGCACATGCACACCTGAAGAAGCGCCGAAATGCATGTAAGAAAGCAAATAAGAAACCATGACTCACCGACCAAAATTCGATGAAAAAGGGTGTTGAGGTGGCAGTAATGTAGAAGCAGTAGACCGCACCCCATCCGAGGAACACGATAAAGTACTTGTGATTGTGGAAACCCACACAGTTGTTGGTCCTAGGAGAAGAATCCGAGAGGGAACTAGGTGAACTTTATTGGGAATCGAAAGAGGACCATCAACAACACTGAAATACATCAACAAATGAGCTTCAGAGGAAAAGACTCTCAGCTCAAATATATCAGTTTACTTCAGTTACTCAGTTATGAATCAAGGTGTGCTAGACCCAGCTGCTGATGTCTCTAAAACGGAGAAATGGGAGTGGGGAAGATATAGTCAGACTTGGGCAACCTGTCAGTATCCCAGCTCTCGTGCTTCATTCTGGTAGCATGGCGGCTAGGCACTGAATGGGTGTTACAGCTGAACTATTATTATCATCGTTAGTCAGGCATAGGTGGTGGTGAAATCGCCAGGACTGCCACAGTATTGCTAATCCGATGTTCCCATTTGCACCTGACAATGCTTCGGAGAACCAGGGTGAGACCGGTGGCATAGGTTTCGAAGTTTCGCGAACGCTGCTCTGGGCAATCCCAAGTCGATAAGCAATTACATCTGCAGCCGGTCCATCTGAACTTACACGACTGTGAATAAATTCATTTACCACAATGACTGATTGGTCCACAATAATGATGTTTGGGTATAACCCCACTCAGTCTTGTAGCACCACTTTATAAGTGGACACTTGAAGCGCGCACCAAACCATGCAGCTTCACTATCGCAAACCGTTCGGGCTGGTATACTGTTGCGCCGAAGGAATGATACATCACCCTGAAATTCTGTCGTTGATTTGGGAGCTGACGTCAATCTTTCATGGACCTTCGCAAGCTTCTTCTAGAAGTTGTTGTGAGAAGGCCAGTTGAATTCAACTTTAAACTGATCAATCCGTCTATCAAGACAACGGTTTTGCGAACGAAACGTTGTTTCATTCCTTGCAAATCACCTTGATGGAACCACTGGTTACTGACCGGAAGGTCCGTGGTTCGAACCCTACCTCTGCATTTCAACTTCCCCTGTCTAGGCTTCAACCTGTCACTAGCCCTCCGGCCTTCCTCTGGTGGCATGGCAGGTAGGTACCGAAAGGTTGCTACAGATGAACGATTTCTTCAGTTTTATTTGATAAATTGATTGAATGAGTTGAAATAGGGTGCAGCGGTTTCCCGCAGTGAAAACATTCTGCACCCCGAGGACCTTCGTAACCCACCAACCCTCTCTGCCAGTCTTCAGGCCCTTGATTATCCGGCGGCCAGAGGATTAGCGGGAGCCATCGTGGTCGTTAGTCGACGGTATGTCTTTTCTGGCAGTAACGAAACCTGTTGATTTTGACATCATCATCGCACAACATCACCAACACTGGCTCTTCGCTGCCAGGTAACCACAAGTTATTATATACGCTTACTACGAAGAAAAGCACGAAAAATATGGCAAAAGAAAACACTGCTAGTCCATCACCACCATTTCGAGGCGCCAGCATCATCAGATACTGCGAAAAATCGACAGCCACACCGTTAACATCAATTAGCAATCACATCTAGCTGTCTCCCACCATGCACAAGGAGGATCACGCGGACTTTATCTTGGGGGATAACTCGCACCGGTAGTACCCTCTCCCCAGAAGTCGATTTCACACTCCTCTGACAGGTTAACGGTACACTAACTGTTTGTTTGCGATACTCCGAACAGGGCACAAAACAATTCTACGAGTGCCTTCATTGGAATGTGGGTGGGGAATTAGGTGACTGCATGTCCAGAAGCATGGTCTTACATTCTGTGGGTGCACCATGTACGTCAAAGGGCGGAATCACTCTGGTCAGTTTATCCAAAAACACCTATAACCCCCTTCATTTTGAAGACTAGAACGATGTCGTTTGCACTGTCCGGACCGACAAGGTTTTCGTCAGCATCTACTTGAACATCAAGTTGCTGAAGAAATAGCGTCCGTCCCTATCGATTCAATAGGAATGGAGAAGGGAGGCGTCTTTGTCGGTCACCACATTTGTACACAGGCTTTGGGAGAGCTCGTCGCTTACTGCCACGAGCTCACAAGTGTGAAAACAGAAGGGACTTTTCATATCAACACACTTCCGATGCATTGCTGCCAGAAGCGTGTTAAGAGCAATAGACCGGTCAGCTGAGTGGAACGCGATTCGGAAGGCTAGGAATGCCAAAATCGTGGATCTTTTATACCCGTGGCATTGTCCTAGCACCTGATGAATCAACACGAGCCACCGCACGTCGAAATCCCGGTTGATGCTTTTAAGTTAATGCTTCACGCGCCACCAAAAGGCGACGGAGGACAAGTAATGCCAAGAGTCTATGCATGTAGTAGTAGTGGCTGATCCCTCAGTGGTTACCGCATCAGTAAACGAGCTCTATTGTTGAATACCCCCGGTTGTCAAGCACAATTTTTCCCCACAAGAAGTCGCTAACCGAGGACTTCATCTCCACCCTTGAACACTGCGTGTGGAAGGTCATCCAGAGTATGAGCTTGATTACTCTTGAGAGAAGCTATGTACTCGTAAACCTCTGAGGCTGTAGAGTGTTCCAGATTCACCATCCAGGGGTCCGGTGTAGCTCAACAATACGACCGAGTGGCAGCAGGTGGCCACGAGAATTGTTGTAGAGTGTTCGAGATACCTTTTATTGACCCTAGATGGTTTCGCCGACCGGCAGCTTTCGAAGACCCCTTGCACGAATGGACCGAAATAATCTTCCTGGCATTGTTCGCCTACTTCATATTCTTCGCCTTCCCTGTCAGCGCACACGCTGAGTTTCAGTTGACGCCCTATAATTCGCAGGGTGCTTTATGTTCGGTACCGCTTAGAAAATTTCTCCTACATGCAAGCGGTGTCACTGTTCGCTCAAATATTTAGTGTTTGAATGAAGCTGTTGGTGTCGTGCCGCAGGCGAAACGCCCGGCAGTGTGCGGTGTGGCAAATTGACATCCGCTGGTAGGAGCTGGAAGAGAGATCGGAGGACATCCCTGATAAATCCGTATCTACCAGCATCTTACTTGCTAAGCGAGCTGTTCATTCCCTGTGCGGTCCTGAAAAGCGAAGGGAGAAGTGCATAGACGAATTTATGATCAGTATTCACACGAACGGAAGCGACACTCAGTTATGGATCCACACCATCGGTAACTGCTGGCGATCTTGTTAATTTGGGTGAGTGGCTGCCACGCTTTTGGAAAATACCACGTAGCCAGACGACTTCGGTCATTCTAGAAGTTAGTATGCATAAAAACAGTTTGCGGTCAGCACACAGCTGAAGCAGTCGTCCGCCGTTGCCCGTACGTATCGAATCCAATCCAAGTCGGCCACCCGACTGAATCTCCGATGTACTATGTCTCCCAATTGTGCAATAGATCTCGACAAAATCCACTATTCATTTGGTAGAATCAGATACCTAGGGTAGACCATTTTAAAAGCTGAGCACAAAGCTTCTTTCACTGTCTTCCACCCATCCTCCAGCTAGTCTTCGCCGTCATCGTGAATGTGGGTCTCCCAAGAACTTTCAACTAGATTATCTAATACTGTTGAGCAACCTAAACTCATTACAGCTGAACTATTATTTATCTCATTGTGTTGTTTAAGTCAATGAACAGAAATAATCTATTTCAGTATACGTGACCCTGAGGAGAAGCGATGTCAAAACTGAGCCCGCACAAGGGTATGATCGGAATCAAACTACACAATCCGGGAGTAAAGGTGATTTTCAATTGGGGATCTCTTGATAAAAAACACTATCGAATCCAGTACTGAAGTTTGCCTGGACGTATACCGAACCAGACGGTCGTACAGCACAAAGATGGTTATTTATTGGAATTCGTCTCTTTAAAGTGCTTTCAACCGTGGAGCTGAGTGCAACCCCCCCCCCCAAATGTCAAAACTGAGCCCGCACAAGGGTATGATCGGAATCAAACTACACAATCCGGGAGTAAAGGTGATTTTCAATTGGGGATCTCTTGATAAAAAACACTATCGAATCCAGTACTGAAGTTTGCCTGGACGTATACCGAACCAGACGGTCGTACAGCACAAAGATGGTTATTTACTGGAATTCGTCTCTTTAAAGTGCTTTCAACCGTGGAGCTGAGTGCAACCCCCCCCCCAATATCCGTACCAGGAGCCATTGTATTAGAACCACCAGATACCGGAAGAATGTCGAACAGCTGAGCTAATCCTAGGCGATTTGAGGTGTAGGATCGAAGTGCCCATAGGCGTGTCTCGGAGTCACAACATAATTCGACAAAAGGAACAGTAAAGCTGCAGCTGAGGATGCCTATTGCCTCATTAGGTAGGAAGTACGGACATTGAAGGGTGCAATTTGGATGAGATTTCTTAGTTTGTTACGGGTTCATTAGGGACCATTGTACTGAGCGGTAGTTTGGATGCGGATTAGTGACTTAAGGACTAGCCCCACAGTGGACCAGTTGAACAGTGCGGACCAAGTGTGGATGAGGGCTTGTGAATAAAAACTGCAAGGGCGAATGATACTTTCCGACTGCACAGATCGAAGAAGGGTGTTTGTCTGGTTCAAAAGTCTGACAAACAATGTGGCGAGTAGTAGGGTCTATTTTAGTAACCTACCCAGAACAAATAACTCGACAACATGACCCACTTGGTCAAAGTCGAGTTAGACAAAGCCACTAATATTCCATAGAATGGATAAATAGAGGTAGTCACACACTCACCATGGACAGTGATGATCTAACTGCAAAACACACCTGTTGAAAGAAATAGACAGAACGCAGAAGACGAGTACATATAACATGTGATGGATGTACCATCTTTGATCGGTGTAACAAAACGGATGTGATGAAGACAAGTTGGTGAACCTCTGACAACAGAGTTGAAAGAAATAACTCCTGTGAAGTCTTTGTGACCCAAACTGGACTTAAAACTTTTGCAATAACGGGAAAACGACGTGCGGACAACAGTCAATTTGCTGGTTGGTTCCAAACTCCTATCGAGCGTGGACACCAACAATGATGATCAGGGTGATCTATCGTATTACCGAGGAATCGTGACAGATATCAAAAACAAATGGTGAAGGCCGCATACCCGCGATCAAGCACAGGTTCGGCAGGATAAGCCAATTTTGAACATCCGGAAGAGAGGATATGAGTTTGAACGCAGTTTTTCATGTCGAACCTCCTCTCCCAAGCCCACAGATGACTCACATATGAATTCAATGAATTCAGCACTGTTACTACCTTGGCCTTTTTTTCGTTACCACGAACCAAGCTATCTGCTAACTGCGAAAAACTCCGTTTTATTTGCCTGTTTGAATAATCAGCCTGATACATTTCTTTGTGGAAGCTTTCGTGTGTTCGTGAGAGTCAAATGCAACTGTCACGAGGCCGTTGTTTGATGGAGTGTGTGCAGTGCTTCTTTCGGCAAGAAGAGGAGTTTAACATGGGACTGATAGATGTTTCTGGAGAAGATGGAAGTTCTTCTGGAACATTCATAATCAGTCTTATTATGAAGAGCTACTTGTCATTCTCAGAAATCTATGGACATCAACCCATTGTTTAGGTTGGGTCGCAGAAATGAACACAAAATCAACCACATACATCCCAATTTTGGTGACACCCAAAGTGAAGGGGCCTGCAGCAACCTATATAAGAAAGCCAGAAAGCAAATATGACCAGCCCGAACCGAGGACCTTGTGGTAAACGAACCAAAGGACTGTTCGCTAAGACATTATCCGCTCCTTTCAGGGTTGTGAGATGGCTCACAGTCTAGAGGCGAATTTACTGATCGGGAGGTTCGTGGTTCGAACCCGACCTCTGCGTCTCGACTTCCCCTGACTAGGCTTGAGCAACCTGGCGGTATCCCGGCCCTCATGCTTCCCTCGGGTGACACGGCAGCTAGACACAAAAAGGGTGTTACAGGTGAACGATTATCTTAGTATCTTTCTACTTTGAAAGAAAAGCTGAGTCACGCTGACTTCATAATTTATTCAGACCTGAAGCGAGCCCCGTATTTAGTGTATGAAGGTGGAGAATACAGAAAAAAGCTTCCGTCACACTTTTTACATCATGTCATTTCGGTGAATGTGGATAATTTTTAAAGAAAATCAGTTTCCGCGACGCTTGTCCAGCCATGCTTATTCCTTATTTGGATATAAGGTAGTCTTTTTAGTAAAGTACAAATGAAATCAATAGTCTTCACAGTACCTCACCCATAGCACTGAAAAACAGGAAGATATCTGGAGACTGCTTCACTCGCTGCACTTTTACAAACTTATTAGAAGACTCAAGACCAGGCCCAGTTATCCATTCTGCAAAAAAAGGAGAGCATTACTCTCTTTTAAGCGACTTCTGATGCCTACCATTACTAAAATCATCCACAGCACATCAGTGTTCAACGTGTTGCTTCACTGCTGTAAGACCAAAGTAAAAATGACTCCAACAATAGTTCAGCAGTAGCACCATTCAGGTGCCTAGCTGCCGCATCACCCGAAGGAAGAACGGAGATTGAGATACCGCCAGGTTACACAAGCCCAGACAAGAAGTCGAGATGCTAAGGTTGGATTTGACTAAGTAATTTTGAGCCCTAACTCCCGGGCTTATATCGAGAATCTATCTGAAAGCAATATCGTGAAGAGGAGAATAAAAGTGGATGGGGAAAGGACTTACTGCTAACCTATCACAATCATTTCATCTCGAGACACCGATTCAAAAAGCAACAACAACACCATTGAAATCGAACAGCAGACATCTTGCAGCGTCTCCAACAATGCATATGGGAGATCACGCGGACCTCATTCTGGAAAGCAGCTACCATCGATAATGCCTAGACATATCCCTCTAGCAGCTCAAAGGTCTACCAACTCTGTGATATGAAAGTGGTACGGAAAACAGCACTCCCTTCAGCAAACGATGATTCGGGATGCGCAAAACATGGCCAAACCACTGCAGCGTTTTGTGATGGGCGAAGTCTTCGACTGTAGTCTCTGGTTCACAACCCAACACTAGCTATGCAATTGGCTCTTTGCGGATTCGCCGACACTAACTCACACAAGCTATGGTTCTGAGACAACGGTTGTTAAAGACCTGAAGAAGTCCCAGTTCGGCTGCTCGCTCTTCCCACAGCCAGACATTAAACCACCCCTCGTACTGTAGCCTGGTATACGCCTCCCTTGAGATTCAGGGATATGCCTCTTTACCACCACAGATGCCCTAATTGGCAAACGCGAACCGAGCCTCAGAGATGCGAGAAGTGACCGAGAAGTGGCGCTTGAGAGAACATACGCAGTCATAAACTCCCAGGCCCGTACGGTGTTCCGGGTTCACCGTTCAAGGTTCTAGTGCGGTTCGACAATCTGACTGAGTGACAGCCCGCGGCCACTGTTCAAAGTGTTCGTCCAGCGGTCGAGGCCGCGTCAGTCTGATGATTTTGTTCATCGGCGGTTTCCGAGGACCGGGTACACGGATCATGGGCCCGAAATCATCTGCGGGAATTCCCGACATTCTTCGCCTCCCCCATTTCTTTAGCCTTATTTGTCCACAAGACTTCACTGTCAGCGGACACACGGAGCATCACTTGATGTCTTATAATTTGTGGAGCCAAATTATGTTCCCAACTGGCGGTAACATTTCTCCAAGATTCAGACAGCCCCGTTTTTCTGTTTGATATCGTTTTCCAAGGGACCTGATAGCGCCGCCCCACAGTCGGTACTCCCGGCATTGTACTATGGTTCCAGTAGGAACTGACATCCGACAGTGGAGAAGTTGGAAGTGAGTTCAGAAGAGGGTTCTAGTCAGTAAGTTTAACTGCCAGTCTTTAGTAGTCTCTCGGTCACTAAGTAAGTTGTCTGCCTGATGCGAATAGGGACGACAACCGTATGCTCCATTTTCAAGAATAGTGGTGATGACCCCCACATACACAAATAATCTATGGTCAGACCCCACAGTACAGACTGCCTCAAAGAAACTGACTGATACAACACGTTTCAAGATAGGACAATACTGGCCTCTTCCGAGGGATGAATTCTGCTGAAGGATGATAATTGTGCCTATCCGACCAGGATGTACTCAAGTTCAGATGTCTGCCGTACAAATGGGCATCGCACTTTTACCTCAGGGTCATTCTCGTCTGTGTTGTAAACGAGGATCTATGCGCGCAGCTGTCTGGTTTTTGGTCACAAAGCAACAATAGATCTGATGTCTTCACGCACATCGTTTGGTATCATTTGCCATATTATCAGAGTCAGTAAGTGATGTTCCGGCTGACATAGCTAGCTGAGCCGTGATCTAAGATGGTGGTACCAACACCATTTGGGTAACAAATGTCGGACATCGAGGGAATGAAAGTATAATAGGGATACAATAAAGAAAACTTTCGTACAAACCCATAGTAAGGGTAAGGTCATAGTAAAGACGGACTACCAAATAGTGCTTACTTGAAAGTGAATCGGAGGAAACTTGTTTCAAATTTTTAGAAACAAATTTCATTTCTCATTGCTGATTGCATTGCAGCGAGCCTTCCTGAGTCACCTCTCCGAAGGATGCAAAACTGTTAAGTGATTACTGATCTAAGATACCGTTGCTCTGGTCAGAACATTTTGACCAGTGGTGAAAAGTAAGATTGCTCATTAAAAGTTACCAATTCTCAAGCAGAACTACAGGAGAGCCAATTCAAGGGCCTGGAATTCAACTAGGTGTTATGAAGAAGGATGTGGTTGGATCCCGAATAGTTCAGTTACATGAATTCTCCCACCATTGTCAGTCAACTGGTTAACCAGTAGTCAGAGTATTTCAAGTAAAAATTGGTTGGGTCAAGAATAATGCATTCGAATTCAAAACTATCCACAGTTAAAGAATAGCCATCGGGCAAGCGGTCCTGAGTCTACTCACCAAAAGATCACGAGACCTGTTTCCTGTATGTTCATCTAATAGGCCTTAAACAGAGAAAAGATCTACTGTAGCTGAGGTTTTCTTTTCATGCAAACTCAGGCCTCCACGAAAAGAACGAGTGGCGTGATTTTTCCAAGCAATTTACACACACTCTCGGTAAGGAACAAACAGTAGCAACTAGGCTGAAGCGTCATTAAAGACCACTTCAAACGGATGTTCGGAGATGGATCTCATGTGGTTTACCGTTCATTTCCGGGTTTTTGTTTAAGCAATCGGAACA